TGCGCTTGTAAACATTTTTTTCAGCCATGGAACAACACATTCGGCTGGAGTGATGATTTTATTTAACAGGTTACCTGGAAATATAATTGACCACAGGAGTGATACAAACGGTCATTGGCTAATGGTTGTGACTGATGTTAATGGGTCTAATTACATATTGGTGTGTGTTTATGGGTATAACAGAAAGATTCAAAACAATAATTTTCTTTCAATCTTGTGCCAAAGATTAGAGGAATGGAAAGTACTTTATATGACTGATAAGATTATAATCGGAGGGGATTTCAATGTAGTTCCTGATGAGTGGTTAGATCGTCTTCCTTTAAGGGGACAATGTCATAATTTTAATGATTCTATTATTGACTTGGCCTCTAAACTTAATTTAACTGATGTTTGGAGAATAAATAATCCCTCAAAGTCACAATATACCTGGTTTAACTCTTCTAACAATGGTCAGTGTTCTAGGCTCGATTATTGGTTAATCTCTACTAGTTTAACTAATAATGTCTCAAAGTGTGACATTTCAGCATCACCTCTGACTGATCACTGTGTCATCTCTTTGTCCTTTTTACTATGCAACTTCAGTCCCAATCTTAAACCTATATGGAAATTCAATAATAGTCTTTTGGAGAATGCAGATTTTTGTAGAGAGATCAAACAACTGATAAAAGAAACTCTGGCTTTGGATATGTCATCTCTCAGTAAATGGGAATGGTTTAAATTTAGTGTGAGACAGATTGCGATAAAATCCTGTAAATACTCTTCTAGATTAAAGAAACAAAAACAACAAGAGATGACAAGGGAAATTAATAATTTATGCCTTAAAGCTGAGTTATCATTGGATGAGCAAATTAAACTGAACAATTTACAAACTCAATTAGACAACATGTATTTGGAAAAATCAAAGGGAGCTTTTATTCGTTCGAGAGCCCGATGGATTGAGCAAGGAGAGAAAAACACTTCTTATTTCTTCAATCTTGAAAAGCAAAGACAAGTGAAAAAGAAAATCCAAAAACGGATTATTAATGATGTCACTATTGAAAATCAAGACCAGATAAATGAAGAAATTAGACTTTTTTATAGCAATTTATATAACTCAAAGTTTTCTAAAGAAAATTGTGATAACTTTTTTAATAAAATTACAGAATTCAAAAAGACAATAGATGATTCTTTTAAACAGTATATGGACGATGGACTAAAAATTGAAGAATTAGATAGTGCATTACTGCAAATGTCTGGTGGCAAATCACCAGGGCTGGATGGTTTAACCATAGAGTTTTATAAATGTTTTTGGTCAGATGTGCGAGAAATGCTTTATAAAGGCGTTCACAGATTGCATTTCAGCAGGAAACCTTTCGCCAACCATGAAACATGGCCTTATTACCTTAATTCCAAAACCAAATAAAAATAATCTTTTGTTGGATAATTGGAGACCAATTACCCTGTTATGTAATGATTACAAACTTTTAGCACATGTTTATGCTAACAGGTTAAACTCGGGTCTGAATCAACTAATAGATGAATGTCAATCAGCCTTTATAAAGGGCAGAAGTATTCATAACCATACCAGACTGATATTGGATATGCTTGATTACCAGGAGTTTATTGATACTGAAGGTCTCGTACTATTTCTGGATTTTTATAAGGCTTTTGATACTGTTGAACATTCCTTTTTAATGGAAACTCTGACATTTCTGGGTTTTGGTGAACATTTCTGCAACATAATTAGGATGCTCTACTCGGACATTTATAGTTCTGTATCTTTGAACCCTGGAATGAGCCCTAGGTTTAAGGTTTTACGTGGTATTCGACAGGGTTGCCCTATTTCCCCAAAATTATTTATTCTGACCACCCAAGTATTAACAACGCTTATTATAAAGAATCACAAAATATTAGGCATTACCCTCTTTGACAAAGAGTTCAAAATTAGTCAATTTGCAGATGACACATCCATTTTCCTAAAGAATAAATCCAAGGTAAAAGAAACTCTTAACACAATTTCAATTTTTTCAAAAGCATCAGGGTTATCTCTTAATCTTTCAAAATGTGAATTACTCCCTATCCATTCATGTGATGATTCCACTATTGACTCTATTAGAGTGGTACCTGAGGTGAAATATTTGGGAATAACATTATCTAAAAATTATATCAGGAGAGAAGATCTTAATATGTGTAACCGTATCACAGATATGAAGAAATCTCTCAGTCGTTGGTTAACTAGAGATCTTACTATTTTTGGCAGAGTTCTTCTTACTAAAGCAGAAGGTATATCTAAACTTATTTATCCATGCCACTCATGTTTTGTCTCTTCGGCTAATATAAAAAAAGCCAACTCAATTATTTTCCAATTCTTGTGGAGAAATAAAACTCACTACATTAAAAAGTCACAGCTTGTTAAAGAATATGATAAAGGCGGAATTAAAGCTTTAGACTTTGAATCGATGATTGGAACAATTAAAATAAAATGGTTGAAAGCTTTTTTGTCCCAGCCAGAATCCATGTGGTTCCATATTCCAAAGGCCATAATTAAACGTCTAGGAGGGTTTGATTGTCTTTTCAAATGTGATTTTGAGGTTAATAAGATTCCGACCAAATTGTCAAATTTTCATAAGCAGATACTTCATTATTGGAAGATGATATTTACCCACAATTTTTCTCCTCATGGATCTACTTTATGGAACAATAGAGTGATTATCATAAACAGAAAATCCTTGTTTAGGAGTGATTGGCATGAGAGGGGTACTTTGTTTGTTAATGATTTACTAGATTGCAATGGTAAACTGCTAGATTTTTTGGCCTTTTCAACAAAATACAATATAACGTGTACTGCTAAAGATTATAACAAAATCTGTAAAGCAATTCCTGTACCACTTATTGGAATGATTCATAATACTTTACTGTACTCAAATGTTGTATCAGTTTTACCTAATTTGGAAATTATTGGCGATACTCTTAAGAATAACAAATCTATTAATGCTTCCCTGAAATCCCACATTTTTCACAATTTTAACAGAGGCTTATTTCCTCAAGTGACCGATTTAGACACTTTATCTGTAATGGAAAAAGCTCTATCTTATTTTATAAAATGGCCTATTTTCCCTAAAGCAAAAGAAACTCATTTTAAAATTGTTCATAAAATCTACCCGGTTTCTACTTTTTTAAATTCAAGATTTAAAGGGGACCTATCATGCAAAATGCACTTTTGTACGTCTTTTATACATGAATATGTGTCCCCGGTGTTCCAGGGAACTCACCAAGTGTCAGAAAACACAACCCTCTCTATTTTCCTCCATACCCAAATCTCTAAAAAAAAGGGGCTGCAACGGATCTGATAAAAACTGATCCAGATTTGAACACTGTCCTGACGTCAGGACAGTGGCGCTACGGCTATTGGGCCAACTCCACCAATCAGGAGGAGACAGCCACTGCCATTGCCGTTCGAAAGCGCTAGAGACGCTGTAGTACATATGCCAGGCCTGTAGGTGGTGGTGTTTTCACATAATCAGCCCTTGCGAAAACAGGGGTAAAAAAGTGCAAATTGAGCAAAATGAGGCATGGCTAAAATGCATGATCTGTTTGGTATTTTGAAAAAGAAAAAGTATAAATATGCCTTATATAGGTATGGTCCTACACTATATTATTATAATATAGCATGATAGGTCCACTTTAAATTTGAAGTGGAATCATGTTCCTTTTGTAATTTATCTGATGAATCGTTGAAACATTTATTTTTCTCATGCCCTTTTTCTGAATTGTTTTGGTCGAATGTGAGACATTGGTTGTTACTTAAATTAACAAATATTCCGGCCTTCAAAATATATCACATTTTATATTATATTGATAATTTGGACTCTCCCATTTCTGATTTGGTAAATATAATTATTATTTTGGGTAAATACCATTTACATTGTAGTAAATGGAGAGGAGGCAAGCCCTCCTTTCCCTGTTTCATAAATGAGTTCAAGTCCTTTTTTCTGTCCCTTAGAAAAATACAATCTTGTAACCTGTCTATAAAGATTTGCAATGACATTTCCAAATGGTTATTATTTTAAGTAAGCTTAATGCCTCTTAAATGTTGTTGTGCCTTTATGCTTTTTTCTTTCCCCCTGGCTCTTATTGGATGTATTATTTATGTTTTTTTTTGTCTTATTGTGAATGAATGTCTTGAACTTATGTTGATAAGTTGATGATATCCTCACCGAGCTTTTGTATGTTTAAAAAATGTTCAATAAAACATTTATAAAAAGATAAAAAAATAAAAAAGCTTGTAAACTTCCGGTCTACGGTAGAGCGGTAGAGCGGGTAGATAGCGATATAGATAGCGATAGAGAGATAGAGATACAGATAGCAAGATAGAGATATAGAGAGAGAGATAGAGAGAGAGATAGATAGATAGATAGATAGAGAGATAGAGAGATAGAGATACAGATAGCAAGATAGATAGCATACAGATAGCGGTAGAGCAAAGTGTGGATCAGAAACAGGTCTGGTGTGGATCATTCATACACACCTTAACGAATCTACAAACTGTCTGAAAACACGATCTGTCAACATAAAAGAGAATTCATTCAATAAAATAACAAACGTAAGACCCTACGTTTTTGACATATTTGTATTTAATTCTTTATTTAAGTATCTTAACAGTTAATTAAGAGTCTCTTACATTGTATTCACATATTATATATTGCTGTAAAATCCATACCTAATCTTGATCTCATAACACTGACATCCTTTTGTTAATTTCATTTTTTGGTTTTGTAAAATGTGAGGCAAAAAAAGTAATGCACAAGGTCTACTAGACAGAGTATACCAGCTACATACAAGCAAGGTTTATGAGCCAGGCCAAACATATTTTTCAGCCATGACACAGAGAATAATAGTTTATAACATGAAGAAATAAAATAAACTTTTATAGCAGTTGGTTTTCAAATGACCTTTTTGTCACACAATTCTACCACTATATGTAATAGCAGGCAATAGTCAAGCTTTGAAAGCAGGGACAGCTACAGCACACTATTGGCACCCGGCAAGTGTCCCAAGGCAAGGAACCTATTCAATTTGAACTCAAAGTCAAGGGGACGTTCACTGGGAGGCTGGTAGTTCCCTCTCATCGTTGAGGTCAGGTAGGGAATGAGCGCACAGTTTTCTTCATACAAGGCCAGCTTCTTTTTGTACTTCTGGCGGCTGTAATCTGTGCTCTTGTGATTAAAAGCTGTACAAATATGACATATAATTCATTAGTTGGATACATTTCTATGCAGGTTTTTGAGCAATAGTACATAGATAAATAAAATATTACAAATCAGAAACAACATTATCCTTTTTAAGTTCAAGCAATTCCTTTGTGTCTTGCCTACCTTTCAGATATAAGGCCACATAGAGGAGTGATGATCTTTGTATACTGAGGAAGGGATACTTTGGTTTGAGACACCCAACAGCTGTCATGGCCTTGATTACTGATACTGCCACACCCTATAAAAATACAGACTCAACTCAAAGCAGGGCAAATAAATGTCAACCAGACTTAAAAAACATATATTTAACAAATGATGTGCTTAAGTGCTTGTCTGACCTGTTCCAGGTAGCCCAACGTTGGAAGGGAGGTGAGGGGTACAGGTTCACAAAGAGGAGGAACTTTACTGGGCAGCTTCTGGTTCCAGTACGTTTCAGGAGTCCTTAAAAAAGGTAAAATATCCACACCAATTTTCACTCAATAGACTATTTGCAATGGCTAAATAATACCACAGTGTCTTTTTGTTATATATGCACAACTTAATGAACAGTGGGAAAAGAAAACATCAAAAGAATAATTGTGAAATCTACAAAGAGATAGATCGGCACCTCAAAAACTTGTCCTGTTTCCGCTTTGTCTCAAAAATGTAGATTTGTTCTCTGTATTCAACAGCAAATTCCATCTTTCCTCGAACAAGAGCTTCATACCTGAGGACAAATACATTAATAGAGCAGTACGGTAAAGAGTTAAAGGCTGTTATAAGAAATCTGATACAAAAAAAGAACCTCTTGACATATTTGTTATGTTTGTTGGGATTTAGTTTTACATTCAGTTTTTCTCCGATACTGCAGTTTTATGAATGTTTGTTTTTAAATATTTCTTGTCATTATTATTTACATATTGTAGCGGCACAAACTCCCTAAGAGTTATGCCGCTGAGAGGCTAAAATGTGCTCTTTGCTGTGACGCGTTCCATATAAGAGTCCGAAGTCATTCATAGTCCATAGTGTTTAATAAAACGCAAACAAACAATGTACTGTACAACTCCCGACCTGACGGTCAACAGAAAGTATCGGAGCAAATTCACCCTCTTCCTACATCATGTCCTCCAAACCGGCATCCAACAGGTGACCTAAATAACAATAAACCACACCCACGTGACCATTGCCGGAAGTGATAAACAATAAGAATTCAACGTGAAGCAAACAGAAATGAAGATAATGATAGAAGTAATAAGTAACGGCAAAACAAGCATTTTGGCTCCTACACATATTGTGCTTTCAAAATGCAAGTAATGCAAGTATTACTTGTTTCTAGTGAGATTATAATCAGCTACATGCCTGTTTATTTCTCTACAAACACAGGAATCCCTTTGGGCTGACATATATCGTTTTGTGTCTTAGAAATGCATTCTCAAGACATGACAAAAAGGAGCTTATCGTACTTGAAATATTTAGATTTGAACATTATATGGGTGAGTACCTTTGCTTTCCATCCACATAAGTTACCGAGCAGAAGCCCTTCATCTCCACCTGCTGTGGGAACCTGTTCTTCACCTGGCTCTCAGTGAGCTTTTGTGGCAGCAGGTGGGATTGTGGGAGAGGGTGTGGGCATTGTGGAGTCACAAACTGATCTGGAGTTGTAAGGAATTGCTGGTGGAGAAAGACCATTGGAAAATCTTAAAATGATCTCATGTCTTTGCATCTTAAACCTTCTATTATACACACAATTGGAAATAAATGAAATGTCAGATGAATTGGTCCTGAAACCTTTTCCATACTTAATTGTGCAGACTCCACTACACTCACCTCCAAATGGTCTTCGCCACACAACTTGTAATACTTTCCCTTGTACTCAGCTGCGTGAGTTAAGGCTGCGATGTCTGAGCGGTCCACCAGGTGTTGACATAGAGCCAGGCAGACAGGGCAGTACTGATCAAACTCTCCAAGCCGATGCTGCAGCTCCCTGGGCGTGATGCACAGTCTGTTGATGCAGGCTGCATTCCCTGCAAAATTAAATAAAAAAGTGTTTTGTGACATAACACATGCTATATTACTTTAGGTGTAAACAACCTTGATGAACTGATGCCTGTAAGCCTTTAGTACTTACCACTGCATGTTCTCTCCAAGTAGCTGTGGATATATTTCATGCTGAAGCTGACCTCCTTTAAAATGCTTTGCCAGATCCACCATTTGCTCTTCAGGCCATCGAGCAGTATCCAGTTCTGATATTGTTGTTGGAAGTGTTGCCTTACATGCTCCATCTCCTGCTTGTAACAGGAGTTATTAATGTGAAGGATCTCTGAGCTGTCGTGCATCAGGTGAGGCCTGCAGTTGCACAAAAGAAGTGTGACAGAATGCATTTTCACATTAACTTTCAAGGATGGTGATTTAAAAACAGCTGTCATACTTGTGGTTTCTGGTGTGTATTTATAATTGCAATTGATGTGTGTTCTCTCACTTGTCGGGCTTCATTTTGTCCAGTAGGCCTCTCTTCAGCACCTCCACTGTGTCCAGCCCCAGCTCAACCACTATCATAGGGATGATGCTCCGAGACCCCATCAGCTCTGTCTGCTTAAGTGTCTTCGGGAAGCCATCAAACACATACCTGAGATGCAAATAAACATTGTATTCACAAACACCATAAAAAGGTAATAACAAAGAAGCGATCAAAGTAAGAATAGATAGTCTTTGTATTGTTATGTTAAGGTAAACGTTAGGACCTTGAGTTTATGAATGTACTTCCCCCAGCCCCGGCCTTGATTTACCCAAGAGTGCTGCAGACGGAGCTCATGAGCGCCACCTCCAGACACTGAATGGCCAGTTCATCAGGCACAGTTAGTCCCTGGGAGAGATGCTTTTTCATCTGGACAGCCAAATCAGTGTGCTCATGCTTGTGAAGCACCATACGCATAACACCACCAATAGACAGGCAGGCCAAGCCATATCTTTGAGCAAACATCTTTGCCACTGGAGAATTAAAGCAAAGTAAGAAGAAAAAGATAAGCGGTTAAGTATATAAGATAAACCCAACTCGATTTTCCAGCTGTCTTAAGCCTTACCTGTGGTTTTCCCAGATTTCGGTGGTCCAACAACAGCAATTTTAACAGGAAGGGACAGATTGGGTTTAGACTCCCTTAAGTATTTCAAGGGGTTCAGCATAAATATGTTGCGATTCTCCTTAGATGCAAAGAAGTAGATATACTGATGGAAGATCAGGGGATATGTAGTGTTGAGGGGCCACTGCAGAGGCTGGATCAAATCTTTCTCTTTGTATCGCTGTAGAAGTGGGATAAGTGTGTCAAAAACAATATGTCATAATTATACATAGGAAATGTCACACAGTTCTGCAGGTTAACATATCAGCACTAAAGAGAAAAGGTGGACCAGTATTTTTTTTAAAATGGCTAGAAGGACATAGAGTAGTGGTCCAATCCAATCCACTTTATTTCTAAAGCACATTTAAAAACAACAGAGTTGAACAAAGTGCTGTACATCAACAACAGTATAAAAACATAGCATAAATACATAAAAAACAGACAGGACATGAAACAAATGTAAAACAGGAGACAATGAAACCAGATCAGAAGCCACAGACTGAATAACTCTCCTACATGACGTAAAAACAATACAAAACACTAGTAAGATAAAAACCCACATTTAAAAGCACAAGTGTCACCTGGTCTGTAAATTCAAGGGAAAATAAATGAGTTTTTAAACGAGATTTAAAAACAGGCAGAGTCGGAGCAAGTCTAACCTGGAGGGGCAATTCTCAAATGACTCCTACCTTTATGGGATCCCAGCAGCCAAAGGCACTGTGGAGCTTATAAGAGGAGAGCAACAGCTTATGTGCCAGGCTGTATAAGATGGGTTGACATTTTTGGAAGAGTGACTCCCTGTTGGTCAGCAGCGGTTGGATTTTCTGGAGCATTTGTTGTCGCACGATCCGGAGCTTTCGAGATGCACTAATTGACACTTTGGGAATGTTTAGTTCACTCAAGAGCTCCTGACGTTAGAAAAGCACAAAGCAAAAGACATGAGCATAAGTAAAGTACAATATGGTAACGTATTATAACGTGCAAATAATGTCACATTTCGTCCAACTTGAAATGTTCTTCATGTACAAAATGTCACTTGTTGTAGTCACAGTTAGCCATAATACTCAATGATGAGCATTTGTTTGTCTAGTTAATTTCCTCAATTGTGTTTTTGTACCGTTACAGTAGCGAGGCCGGTTTCATCTGTCATATAGCGCTCTGCTATCTCCATCTCCAGCCTCTCAGACGCTGCCTCCTGAGTCTCCCCATTCTCCTCCATGTCTTCGTTATCTTCTTCTAAAGGAAACTCCTCTTCAAGCGTGGCCTCTATCTCATCCTCTATGTTGCCTGCATCTCCATCCTCTTCTTCGTTTTCTTCCTCCTCATCATTTCTGGACTGATGAGTAAGAGACAGAAAGAAAGGGGTTAACCCATGATGGATAGGGGGATGATGGTGGCTATAATTCGTTTTCTTACCTTTGATTTGGCCGCCTCTGTGAGTTCAGCCTTTCTTTTGGCAATGTTTTCCTCCTGTGCCAGAGAGGAGGTCATTATCAGGACAGACTGGAGGAATTATGCTTCATATTGAACTTAACAGAATAATGATATTGTATCTAGTGATCACTTGCTTACCCGGCTCTTTTTACGTAAATCCCGAAGTAGATTCAGCTGTGCTTCACGGTGGTTGCGGCGCTCGCACCAGCTCTCCAGGTATGTCGGCAACAGGCGTTTTTGAACGTCCGTGATGTCCACTGACATTATTACGACAAGGTCAGGGAAAAGCTGGCGCTGTGACATGTACTGCACCTCATCAGAATCGAAAGGGAAGCCTTCCAAAATAAAACCTGTAGACCTGTAGAAGTGGAGAATGTTTGGGTCCAAAAATACCTTGTTGTGTCTGGTGTGCAACACATTTAAGAGATTATTTATTTCTTGTTTGGGAAGCACACTTTTTCTTCTTTTTGTAGAAAGTAACTATTAATGTACATTGCATTAGTAACAGTAAATAGGAAGCAAGCACCAGCAACCACGGAGATTAAACAAACAATATACAATGATGTAATCGAACAATCGTGTGTGTGTGTGTGTGTGTGTGTGTGTGTGTGTGTGTGTGTGTGTGTGTGTGTGTGTGTGTGTGTGTGTGTGTGTGTGTGTGTGTGTGTGTGTGTGTGTGTGTGTGTGTGTGTGTGTGTGTGTGTGTGTGTGAGAGAGTGTGTGCACCTACTTGTATGGTTCCTGTTTCCAGTACGGTGCAATAACTGTGTCCAAGATCTGTAAAGGTAATGGATCTCCTTCAGAGAGATAGGCTTTGATGTCTTTTTCCTCCTCAGTAAGGACCACTTCCGGCTGTACACACAAAAGCAAATATACAATAATCACCACAATTTAGGCTCAGTACTACTGGAAATCGTGCGACAGGGAAAGCAGCCGACCTCAATGTCATTCTCGTTGATGGAGGTCTCCTCTGTCTCCTTCTCATGCTCCCCTCTGGCCTCCTCTATGAGTGCTTCCAAGTCCTCAGGAGATTCTTCTGAAGACTCTTTCTCATCCGCATAAAGTACAGGCTTCTTTGTCTTGGCCTTAATGAGCATTTGGAGTTGCTCCCTGAACTGAATATGGAAGAGGCCAAGCTGCTGGGCGAGCCACTCACCATTACTGGTCTTGCCTGAACCTCTCGTGCCAAGCAAAAAGATCCGCGGGGCAGGAGGCTTAGAGAGAAGAACATAATAAACTTGTTAGGGATCTTTTTTGTATTCTCTTACAATGACTTTTTCTTCCATTTTTATGTCAGCTTGTACCTTGAGTGGCGACGTCTGTGCAACAAAATTAGCAGGGTTTTGAAGAAAGTAGTCCCTGGCTTCTTCGTTTGAGAAGTAGAAGGTCTTATCGCGGTACTTGGCTGCAATTTCATCCGTACATGGCAACAGGATGTTGGAGTTCTTCAAGGCCACTGGGCAGAAATGAAGGGAATCGCCTAATAATCTCTTGACTGTTGTGTCCGCCTGCTATGATTGAGAGGAAGGATACAGTATACTGTTAAATATTTGTTTATATTATCAATCAACAACAAAGCAGTAAAACTAGCCTGTATCTTCAGCATCTTCAATTTTAAAGTCAAAAAAGACATCTGTGTGAACTGACTTCATCCTCATCCTCTGCTGCGTCATTGTCACTGCTTCCTTCGTCGGCTCTCTCCAGCTCAGCTAAGGCCTCCATATCTTCTGCCTCCTTTTCCAGGTCCATTGCTGATAGTTCACAGGACACATACTCAAAGGGTTCTGAAAAATATTGTGCATAAACCAGACTAAATTAGGAGTTTTTCTTATCAAACTTGGCATCTGTTAGTCGTATAATTCACCTTATGGGTCAAATCCTTCAAAATCCAAAATCTATTTAAAGTAAATGATATTTATAGTTAATCTACTTGAAACATTTAGGAATTTCATAACACTTACTCTCCATTTGAAGCACAATTTCTTGAAGCAGGTCCTCAGGGCTTTTGTCACCTATCTCTAGTACTGAGTGGGTGACAGTTGAAGCGGACTGCATTTGGTTCCATTCGGACAAAAACTGATTGAGTTTCATTTTGTAGTCATTCACATCAGGGCCATCTGGATAACCTGAGTCCCAATGAGCAACACAAAAAGGAGAAGGAGTTGAAGAACAAAAGTGTGTTTTACGTCAATGCGCTTAAATACAATAAGGTCGATGGGGTTTGACATAACACAATATAATAAAAGTGCCTCACCTTCCTTTTTGACTATTTCAGTATTTGCAGGGCTGGTGATGTCAGGTTGTTCAGGACTTTCTACAAAGGAAATGAATGAATGCTTTGAAAAAGTTCTGGCCAAACTACAGGTTCAGGGAGGCTTTGTGAATGTAGGCTTCGCAGACAGATGTATGATACCTTCAGTGCCTTCACTAACTGTCTCTAGATGTGTTTGCAGCCCTGCAGGCATGGCCTCTTCCTCTTCTGGCTGTTTATTGGTTCTAACATTGAGAGAAATGAAGAACAAAAGCTGCATGAACAGTCCATTTCAGATAAAACATCAAACTTGACATGCACCTGTACTCACAAGGCCGGTTTCTCCTTCTCAGATTGTTCGTCCTGCAATCTCGTCCCGAATGCTTCGTCCACGCTTTGCTTGTTCGCCTCATACAATCGCTTAAAAACTGTAAAACAATGAAGTGCAATGGTACATAAACACTGATGGTATTGATATGGACTCAAGTCTAATGAAACTCGTTTGTGATGCATTGTGTCTGTGCCTTGTACCCTGACTGCCATCACTGTCTTTGAGACAGAAGAGGAGGTCTGGCAGTATTCCAGCATGCTGTAAGGCATTCATTTGGGACACGTTCTTGGGAAAGTTGTCAAGCACCCATCCAGTCCTGACATCCGTACTAGCGCCAGCCTCTTCAATCTGCAACATCAGAGATATTAACAACACCACTGCAAACTTTATTCAGATGTTTAATCAATTATTAGTGCTATGGTTTGAACCGTTACATCATTTATATTAATGGTTAACATTTATATTAAATATATCTCTTACAAATAACTTAAATATATTTGACAACATTCACAGAAATATAAAGAAGGCATGGCCATAGTTTAAAACCAAAAGCTGTAATTGCAGCTGCTATGTTTGAGATGACATACCTCATTTATGCGCTTCTCCAGAACCTCACCATACAGACTCAAGGGAGATGTGCTCATATGTTTGGCTTCTTCCAGCGCAGTGAGAACCAAGGCTTGTACCTCTGGATGATCCTCTGTCACTGGGAACAGCAGAAAACATTTGCAAACTTAATCTCTCAAACTGAGATCCAAAACACACAACACATTTACCAGACCACCAATTGTGATGTGTACAGTTCTTATTAAGATTTTAAAATGCACAAGTTATCCATGTTTATTTGTCTGCATGTGAGAAAGATCATCTTACCTTCAGTAGAATTGGTTTCAACTGATGAAATAAAAATATTTAAAACATTAACATGACAAGTCTCAACAACTACAAATATTTAAATAACGATTTATACTTTCAAGAGCTGATGTGTGAAATAATATTTGTAAGTAAAATAGTTTAAAAAATATGATGATGATAGCGAAAAACCTCAGTATCAAGGCACACAACTTGCCTGAATTCTGCTCCATCTTCATCTTGATTTTCTCTAGAGCGACCTGTGTTGTTTCCTCTTTGATTTTATCAAGCCTCTCTTGCTCAACCTTAGCCAGAACCGGTTGCACCAAAGCCTCCATATCAAGCACCAATGCATTGTAGTGCTGAGCTAAAAGCTTACATAGAGTGCTTTTCCCTGCCAGGGGAGGACCAATTATAGAAACTCTGCAAGGGGGCCTTGGCATCGGAGGAAGTAAGTACCGTCGGGGGTTCTTTAAAAACTTCTGGTAAGCCTCCTGAGATGAGAGGACGTACATTTTGTCCTGGAAGCTGCACAGGAGTTAAATGAGAGTTGGTTGAAATGGACAGTGTTTCTTGTAGATATTGGGTAGATTCCCAACTGGCTAGTGCCTAAAAAAGATCCCTTACCCCACACATAAATCAGGCTTGCCAAGAATGACCTTGCCTTCACTCAGAGCAACAGGACAAGTTTGGCCCCAACGACTTCTTCTCCATCTGAAGCCAGGGGCCACTGTCTGGGTAGAGGACATCATTCTAAATAGGTCCTCCTGGAAAATCATGTGTCATTATTGCCCGTGTGTTAATAGCTCAAATGTAGATTGTATAAAATAAATTAAATTAAATTATGAATATGATCAACAATGCCGGACCGTGTCAACCTGCTCCGGTATTTCTTCATCATCAGCCTGATGGAGGAGTACTGGAATTGAGACATTCTTGATTGCCATGGATCCAAGACGCGACATCACAGACTAGACACAAAAACAATTTAGCCAACAATATACATGGTGAGTTCAACATGGACATTTATGCTTAGACAAACACAACACAGGCACTTTACAAACTCAGATTCAAGACAGCACCGACTGACATTGCCTGCTATTAAAAAACACACAATCAGTAAAAGAGCGTATGGATATGCATATTTGTTCTTGCTATTTATTTTGTTTGTGATATTGTAGCTGCAGATGATATATTTATCATTTGTGGTATTACCAAGTGCAGCTCTTCAGATTTGTTTTGTCCATCCAGCTCCAACAGGTAGAGAGGGTTGTGTTCTGTCATGTAGTCCTTAAAAAGAAATCAATTTTATATCAGGTTTTCTTTTTATCAGAAATTATATCTAGGATAATACCTCACACATTACCGTTCTGATTTCAACAAAACATGATATGACAGGCTTTAATGGTATACATCATTAATAAATGCTTGTTGCCCCACCAGAGCTGTCTTAAATGTATCTTGTAAAATGCACATAATCAAAGAAAGATAAGTGACATTCTGTTAGAAATGGATGTGACCCATTGGGAAAACTGGGAGCCCTGGCTAACTTACCTCCAGTGGTCTGAGCATCGTATCTTTGTACATGTTGATTCTATGTAAAGCATTTTTGTCCAAATTCTCGGGTGTCCACACCATGTTGTCAATAATATCCTTTTGAAGTTCTTCACTCCCTGCCTGCAAGCAAACAAAAACAACATATTTGAGTAATAGGAAATTATGAAAACGTTCTTTTTTAAGGTTTGAACATAATAGTGTTTTCCCTGAAGTCACACCTGCTTTTCATCCTCCTCATCCTCCCCTTCCTCATCGTTGTTCACATCCTCACGCATCCACTGATCCCTGTTGTACAGCTGCCCTGTCTCCGGGTGCTGCTTCAGACCTGACAGCCGTCGGGCAAGGTCTTTGTCTGCACACTGGTGGAATATTGAAGTGTGATACAAATCTCATATACAAAACATTTTCAGAAAACAAGTGAAAGGTTTATTAAAATGTGTACAAATTGTTGCTTCATGCATGAACAACTCAAAGTAGAAAACATGTGGATAACCTTGATGTTGATGATGAAATCAGGAGTAAGCTTGAGGTTTTTGATCAGCTCAAGCTGCTCATGAATCTTCAGACACTCTTCTGACATGAATGGCAGGCAGCTCAGGACATAACCTGTATCACAACACTTGTTATCAGGTGATAGAGCTCAAAGAATGGGGTTTTGAATGACATGCTGCTGTGAAAAATGTGCAATTTGCATTTAGTGACCACCATTACCATAGTGCTCAACATCTGCTGAGTTAAGCCTGGTGAGAAGCAGCTGGAGCACCATGTCTTCTGGCACATTTCTCCCCTCAGATAAGATATTTAAGAGCTAAGACAGTCAGAAGAAAATCGATTCATATTATAGACCATACAAAAATGTAAATGAAAAACACATGACATTGGAAAGATCAGTTTTCCTTTCTGTCTTATGACTGAGAAAGTTATACTTACCTCTATGCCTTCATTTGTTTTATTTATAATGTGTGTGTTGAGCAGATCTGTATCTGAAATATTAGAAAAGCTGGTGATATCTTAACTCTTTTGGGACAAAGACCAGAAATGGTATCAAGCAATTGTACTTACCATCTATCAAGATGCATTTCCAGGATTCTGCTATTCTTCTGGCTAAAGATGATTTGCCAACACCCTGTCACAGAGAAAGGCACATAATTGAAGTCACTGGTTTATGTGACACTGTATGTGTGTGTGTGTGTGTGTGTGTGTGTGTGTGTGTGTGTGTGTGTGTGTGTGTGTGTGTGTGTGTGTGTGTGTGTGTGTGTGTGTGTGTGTGTGTGTGTGTCAGTGTGTGTGTGTGTGTGTGTGTGTGTGTGTGTGTGTGTGTGTGTGTGTGTGTGTGTATGTTTAAGTATTGGTGTGTTTGTGTGCATGTCAGTAAAAATAAGGGGAAATTACCGGTCTTCCAACTATGATAAAGCAGGTAGGTTTTGCAAGAAGTGTCTCTCTCTCAGCTTCATCTTCTATCAGGTTGTCCACCAGACGGTCAACTTCAACGTAGTAAATATCGATGCACGGTTAATTAAGTCATAAACAACAGTCAGCTTCTCCTTAAACCTAGATATTGGGTCGTTAACCTGTCATGTTTCGACAGATGAGGCTGCTACTTACCATGTTTTTGTGGCATTCTGATATCCACTTTTCCTGTTTATCTGTTTAAACTTGTATCATCTACATTACCTTTTACGTTTGCTATCCAAGGTTAATAGTCAACGGTCGGTAACCCTAGTAACCGTTAACAAACTACTTGGGAGAAGGGGGGTTGACTTTCTACATTGTAAGGAGCTAATGCTAGCTACTTTATGGTTACTTCAAAGTACGTTTTGTCGATTTAGGGGTTTGTGTATTTACAGTTAGAAACATTTATAAACAAGTAGGTGCTATCTGCGCATTGAACAACACAAAGGCAAAAACGAGGACTTTCATTTAATAATCGCATTTTCAGACATTTAAGTATTTGTTACTCTGCGGGCCACCGTATCAGTTGACTGAACTATGTCACGACAGTCACCTGACTCAAACAACTCATGTTCTCTTATGTGCTAGCCGTAAATATTGGAGTTTACATTACAAATTAACGAACTAAAAACCTTTAAAATAGTTATATGTTCTACCAGAGGGTATGCGTGTTTGTCATCTTATCTGGCGAGGATTTGTGGCGAACGCAACTACTTAGCTAGCTAGATTAGTTGGTGAGTACTGAGTGACACGCCACTTAGCCACAAAACAGCTCGAAAATATGATACATACAGTGGCTGGCAGTATGAGGTTTACTTGTGTACACATTGTCTCTTTTGTATTTTATGAAGTGAAGCAAGTGTAGTTTTATATTCGGTTTCCTTTGCCTTGCAGCTCTTCAGTTGTTCCTCCTGGATTGTGATTGGAGAAAACAGGGATAACAATGCCTCAGTCGGCGGCTACCTCGATCAGTGGGATCCAGAAGATGGTTCTGTATGAAACCAGAGCTGTAAGTCTGTCATGATCTCTATGCTGTGTTTATCACTGTTTCCTCATGACTTGCTAAATGTCTGATCAGTCTGTTCTTTGGTTACACCTGCTAGTAGCCAACAACAACATCTCTCTAAATTACATCACATGTCCATCAAGTGTTTCCGTCTCTTGGTGCTTCCTGATAATGTTAGAACATAAACCAAGAGCTGAATGTGAAAATGTGTTGGTCAAAGGATTGTTACCCTAACACGCCACTTCCTAATGTGCAGCTTCACTCTTTTTAATCATTCAGGTCTACACATTTGTCCTTTGAACTACCTAACCCCAGTTAGTCCCCCTCATGTTTCATCCTGTAGAAGCACGAGCTGGGGTTAGGAACAACCCAGCACAACCACAGTCATTCCCATCTCTGATGGGAGGCCTTGCTAAGGACACTGTTGCACAGTTATTCATTAGGACAGACACTATTCTGGACATTTGGATGTTTAAATTGCTCAAACAACCAGACATTCATCACTTGTTATAGGAATCTATCGATCCTGCTGAAAATGTGGACTCTAGTGATGGATGACGTTATTTCACTGATGTAATACAGACATGATTGCATTTTTTTGTAGCTTTTTGGAAAAGGTTATATTGCAGAGTGTATAATACCTTTTTGTTTTTTGAATACACATGCATATATGTATTTGTACTTATACTGGTTTAACACAACTACACACAACACCAACACATTTGCATGTATGCAGCCTACATATTTATGTGTGTTTCTGACTCCATATGCCAGCTATTTTCGTATGACAACTTTGTTACAGTCTTCCCAAACCCTATACAAAAGTATTTATAAACATGAGAACCAGGGGAGCTTACATGTATATTTTACCATCAAGAAGAGGAAAGGAGCATAAGCTTGCATTAGGGTAATACATTTGATCCGTTTATTACAAATGTGTTAGAATTTGTCTTTTGTATCCTTAAAGTTTTTTATATTTAAACTATTTTAAAAAGTATCCTGTACCAATCTTCCAACGTAGGTGGTTCTTCTTAAGCCTCTCTCTAAATATTGATGTTTTACTTTCTGCCAAAAGAGCAATTCATTTTTAAAGATGCAAGTCTTACCTTTGAGTGTAATCACCTGTCAGCAAACACTAGATGGCAGCAACATATTTGCTTGCTAGTATACTTGAGTCTACTTTGATTTCCCATGACTTTAATAGTGTCAATTATAGGGTCTAGAGACTCTTGACAGTCCGAATGATTATCACATTTTTGAAAGACAAAATGACCTCCAAATATTTATTTAGTTTCTGACAAGTTAAAATGTATCCTGCTTTCCCTCTTTTCTAATTTGCTGTTGTTTTGTTGGCCAATCCCTTTTTCATAAAAGGTTTCAACAACTTAAAATGATAGAAGGGTTAAATAATGATGTGGTATAATGGTGTGATTGATGGCTTATCAATGGTCGCAAACATGAGACGGTAATAGGAAAACATTTGTCACAGTTGAGCTATCATCATTTCTTAGTGCACCTCTTGTCAGCCCATTTTATTTAACAGTGGACAAACTGACTGTCTAACTATTCTGGATAAAGAGGGTTCCATAGGATAGTGGGAACAGGACAAAATGGCTTTAATGGTTGCAGACTGTACTGATACATGGTGTATCGTTGCAGACTGTGCTAACACATATCAATACAGAATTTAATGTTCTTTAGAGGACAGCAAATCATAAGCTATCCAACAGACAAAGTGTGAGAAAAATAATGACTTCAGAAAGTCATACACTAGTAAGACACAAATATCAAGATTGAACATATTAGAATGTAGCCCTATGATCAAATATGTTCCCAAATGTTTTCACAAATGTAGTTGCTATAATCATGGTATATTTTCTCATATATTATTATATGATGCGTATCTATCTTGGAGTCCTTTTATATATAATTTCACAGGCTTTTTAAACATTAATTTCAACCTGGGTGGCTCGTTGTAGAGAGAAAATGCTGAACATTATAGGAAAAAAAGGCCTAAAGAATGGTTTGTAATAACATATGTAAAAACATATTTTGTTCAATGTTCCGAGAAGCAGCTGCTGTAGGTAGGCTATATGGCAAACATCAGCTCTGCAATAATTTATCGTAGTTATAGTGAATTCACGCATTCATGTTTCTCTTTTCAGAGGTATTTTTTGGTAGGGACCAATCAGGCCCAGACCAAACACAGAGTCCTGAAGATTGACCGCACAGAACCCAAGGACCTGGTCCTAATTGATGATAAGGTAAGTGCTGTGTTTCCACCAGAATTAGCACAGTGCTAATGTATATGCTTATGTAATACAGTACAGCACGCTTGAGGTACAATTGTACAATCACTCAGCCTTTCCCAAGTGTATTATGGATGACAGAAAAGTTGATTAATGCTGCATGCTTCTCCTTTTCTTTTCTACAACTCATTACCAGGATCTATGAGCTGAGATTTGATTTGTTTATTCGTGTTGTTCGGTGATTATAATTTTGATGTGTTTGTTATTATGAAGCATCCATGAATAAATATCCATCACCCCATGCTCTCATTGCTGCAGATATAATACTGACCTACAGAAACCCTGTTAGTTTGCATTTGATTGGCATAGCAGAGTGTTTTATAAACAGTGTGTGGAAGCTTGAGATTGTGATTGAGTAGTCGAGGTGAGCAGGTTCAAAACGCAGCCTCGTCTATCACTCTCTCTCAGTTCATGTGTGGAAAGCTAGCACTCATAATGAACAGGGTGCATGCATAGAACCCTTTGCATTACTGAGATGGATAAAGATTATATGGCTAGCTGAATGTCAAATAACTTATTTTGTTTTGCATTCATATGACTCATTGCATATTGCAGATGAATGCATTTAGTTCCATATAAAAAACATACACAAATACATTTCGTTTTTTTAGTATAGTGCATGTATAGTTAATGTTTCTGTTGCACTTGTGCTAGAATTATAATTATTATATTATTTTTATAACACAGATGTTGTTTAATTAGTGCAATATTACAGGAATCATTTGGTTAATCTATATGTGACTTAATTGCATCTCTTAGGATCAATCTTCTAGAAAATGTGGGATCATTGATTGTACAAGGCCTGCTCGTGATTTACTTAAAATGGAGAGGAACCACAAACTTAATTCAGAGCCAGTAACACTTGTAATTACAAATGCTTTATGTGTGTATTTGTTTATGTGTTTGTTTGTAGCATGTGTACAGCCAGCAAGAGGTTCGAGAGTTGCTTGGCCGCCTGGACCTGGGCAACCGCACCAAGATCGGCCAAAAGGGGTCCTCGGGCCTGTCCAGAGCTGTCTCAGCCTTTGGGATTGTGGGTGAGTACAATCCCCCGACCCTCTACTTCACAGTCATAGCAACAGCGCTTCCAAGACAATTTATGGCAACAAATACCTCATTTATAGCATTGGTTCTTCTTTGTGTATCGTCCTGGTTAGGTGTACAATAAGTGCTGGACACTGGGGAAAAACTAAATAAAAGAAACACCTGGCAGTGCATTGTATTTCACTACAATTTAGCCCCTCTACAACTACTGCCTTTGTGAAGCTTATAATGTGTTTTTTTTCAATGTATTCAATTTTCAGGGTTCAAATCATAACCATTGATGGGGTATTCAGAAATAACAAGAAGCCTTTTTCACATGTCAGTGCTTTCCCTTGCCTTTTGTTGAAGGTCATGTCAAATTAAATAACAAATATTATTTGAAAGAGTTATTTTAAAAACACATTGGTGATAAACAGTGCTTATTTAAAACATATTTTATGTTATTTTCTTTTAAATAACTTATATTATTATGATCTGTTTTACTTGGGCTCAAAAGTGTATTTTTCTGTTGTTCAAAACAACAACATAAAATACCCTCTTATTTCCAAGTGGGCTACATAAATATCTTATCACATATAACACTTTTTATTTTCAACACTTCTGTTAAGACATTTCATTTGAAACCTGTTAATAGCTTTGGAAAAACTGTTGAATTACAGTATCATACATCAGTCTTAATTTGTTTTGAAAGGAAAAATTGCTCATCTCCTATTTGCCTCTTTGTCATCACTTTGGTCATTGCCCTACAGACTCTGTTCCACTCTCAATGCTTAGGTTTATTTAAAGCTTTATTTTGTAGGTCAACTCGTTCTACCTGTCTGCTCCAAGTCAAGGTTTGTTACCTG